ATGGCCTAAATAAAAAAAGCCACCTGTAGGTCTATTTGAGTATTTGAAGAACAAACAAACAAACAAACAAACAAACAAACAAACAAGACTTACAGCAGGTTCCTGGAACTCTTCAGCCAGCACCACACTCAGAACCTGTTTCTGCTCAGCTGCACCAAACACCAGCAGGGGGGAGTACACCAGGGTCCGCAGTACCTGCAGCAGGGGTGACTTGTACCGCAACATGGTCTGGGGAGAGATACATGTAGCAGATAACTGAACTGTGTTCCAACACATAGAATACTAGTACATTCTTCTTCAGCATCATAAATGTACATGACCAAACACTTGATATCAAGAATTGGTCAAAAGTTTAAAACACTTACCGCTTTCGGTCTCTGTAGGTCAAATTGTTGCTTTGTCACAAAGGATATCTTGGCAAACAATCATATCATAAGAAGAGCAATCATCACATCATAAGGTTCCATACTTACTGGTCTTGCAGTCTTGTATGAAACTTCCCTTTCACAGTGTAGAAGGTAAGCTCAATCAGGAACATGCCTGCAGAATGAGCTGTAATTCTTAGTTTAATCATTTTTCTATTTAAATTTCAGCATTGCTAGACTGTAATAAAATTCCATACTGTAAACAGACAATGCACTGAACATGAAACAATCAAGCACATATGAAATGTTAAATTTCAAGACTTATGAATTCCACCATGTGATGACAAAAACCATGATTTAATGTGTGCACATTTAAAGCTCAAGGGACAATCTGGAAGCTGACCTTGGTTCTGATTTACAGGTGATTCTGGCATCTCCAGGTCCAGACTGATCTCATACACCTGGCCCATGGCAAGCAGCTGAAATGTCAATGGACAAGAGGTTGTGCCTTGGAACTAATTTTTTGGAACTTGAAAATGCTTTTAAAAACATGGGGTTAGGGTTAAAGTTAGGGTTAGGCATCTTCTTGTTGTCGTGCTGTCAACCTGATTTGATTGGTGCTGAATTGTCCAGCATGTAGATTCTCAAAATGCAAATCTACATTGAAAATATGTGGTTGATCCAGTTGACATTGTAGTTTTCAGCCCTTTTGGGCAAACTTACAGGCCCGGGTGCCATTCATAGTTTATATTTACCTTCTCTCTAGGATCTCTCCTTGGGTCTCTGGTGAAGGAGACATTGGCTGATGGGAAGGAGCAGAGTCGAGCCTGCTGTGAGTTGACACTGTCACAGTCGGTGCTGTAGAGACAAAAAAAATACATGTCAGTCTAATCAGCTACTATTAGAGCTAAGCTGGGTCACGGGAATAGGAGAGTTTCCCGTGCGGGAACTGTGCCACGGAGGGGGAGAGATTCCCGCTTACGGGAATCTCTCCACCTAGCAGTGCCGAGTCCCGCACGGGAACTTCACCACTCAGGGCTGCCACGGAGGTTGAGAATTTCCCACATACGGGAATCTCTCCACCTAGAAAGACTAAGTCCCGTACGGGAACTTCACCAATCAGGGCTGACCGTGCGCGCGCGTTTTGGGGCCGATATACGGACGGGAATGTCACCATATTACACGAACGGGAATTGGACCATTTTAGTCGACATTTCGCGTACGGGAAATTCACCAGCAGTGACAAATAATGTCCGTCCGCGGACGCCGTACGGGAACTTCACGGCCGATATACAGACGGGAACTTCTCCACACAAACGGGAATTGGACCATTTTGGTCGACATTTGTCGCACGGGAAATTCACCAGTTGTACTACAGGTGCAACCAATTTTTGATTGAACCGGCTGGAATCAAAACAACGCCCCTAGCTTGGTTTGAAGCAAAATTCTAAAAACGTCGAGTGATCGACGTAATCACGAGTGCGTCTTCTATGGACATTTCTGTGCTGTAATAATAGTCTTCAAACTCGGTAGAACACACACACATAAAAAGCCTGTTATACTACGGTACAAAAAAATGTCCGAAGAAGACACAATCGCAATTACGAGTAAGTCTTATACGAACAGTGCTGTTGATAGCGTAGTTGATAACGCTAACGACAACCGGCTCCTCGACAACGAACACAAAATGTTCGTCCTCAAATTAAAACATAATGATGTGTGTCAAACTCACGCTATACAAATGACTTAGCGAGCGGCTTAGACTTTACGGCTATTCCCCTATTCTCATACATGTACATGCTAATACTCAGGACGCTAGAACTAGTACCGGGGTAGAAAAATATGGCGGACATAAACAAAACGACGCTATCCCGTCATGCATTATAATGACGCTAGAGTGTTACGGTTGTAGCAAAAATAAAAACCTTGTTCGGTATTTCAGATTAAATCCCTGCGTATGTGTTGTGGGTTGCCATTTACTCATATTTTCCTTGAAATATATACATTTCCAGCAAGCTGAGGCTAGGGGTTTCTTAATCATACCGTTTGCGTTTCGAGTTTTGTTAGTCTTCGTACGCGTACTTTGTTGCGTACTTTGTTCTGTAGCGCTGATTTCCTTTTGCAAGGACGTTATAGCCTCGTTGGAATAACGATTCTTTTTTGTACCGATAAAAGACCGTAAGTTTAGTCTTGCTGATATCCTGCTTCTGAACAGTAAACACAAATCATGCGTCCTCACAACGTGCCCAGGCCCAACCTGGTTACAATGCAACGATGTACTAGTAATGCATCAACAGTTATTTTCATACTTGTCCGGCCGGGACGCTGAAAAGATGGCGACCATAAACAAAATGACGCTATCCCGTCATGCATTATAGTATATCAGCTTGGCGCGAGACCCGAGTGTTACAGTAGTAGTAGTCTACACGACTTTGGTGATTCATATAACGAAATCAGACAGCTTTAATTTCTCTTTCAGATTTACATGTAGGTAGTGTAACGCAAAAGCTTGTCATTCTTGTTTTCATTTTCAGATTCAAGTCGTCAGGATCAAGGTTAAGACCGTGTTGGGTAACACCGTTCGCCGAATAATTTTTTAAAATCCGTTTTTCATTTTTACGTTGGTTTCTAGTTATAACGTTTACTTTTTTCAGTTTTGTTCCATTTTTGACTTATCTGTGTCGTTGATTTCCTTTTTGCTACAACGTTCATGTTCCTCATCAGTTTACTAACATCCGATTTTAAAAGTAACAGTTACCAACTAACAGTCCATCACAACTTTCAGACAAGTTACGTTCAATCTAAGATAAAATTACTGAGTATGTTACTCTAAGTGATTACACATGATACTATATATCCGTGTTCGTTAGTTATTTTTTTTTCAATTTTGATGAATTTTACAGATTTACGAGCCGAAAGATTTGCGGCGGTGGGGACGCCAGGTTTCCCCGCCAATAACACAACACCGGATGCAGTGTCAAGTTGGAGATTACAGCGATTTCTTCGTGGCACATGCTTAAATAGAACCTGTATAATTACAGATTTGTATTTATGTTTTAAAATGGTTGCAGTCGTAGATAGTGATGTTATATGTTGTTGTTATACGGGAACAAACATGGCCGCCGTTGAACTTCTATTGTTCTGCCGAAACAACTGATGCTATACCGCCATGCATTGCGAACCATACTCAAGGCTGTTGGACCGGATTTACAGTTTCTAGACGATTTCTTGAGCCGTCGGACACCCTAAGGTAAGGCCGGAGTGCTACAATTCCGCTAAGAGAAGTATGGCGAAAATCTCATATCGATGAACAAAGATTTCCAGCCGTCTTCCCATAGAATTTTGGGCATATTGTTAGTTGCCTCTTCAAAAATTCATGGGGTAGACACTGTAGTATTTAAAATGTAAATTTTGACCCTGAAAATATAGTTTTACACTTTTGCAACGGAGTTGCTTTTTTAAACCCTTATTTAACCCTGAAAAAGTACAGTATGTAACAGTACACCTCTTCGGCCTGAGCCGCTTTTCAAGAGTTCAGGGGGAGGTGGGTCAGGGGTATAATGCTTCGGTTTCAGTTACAATAATCAGTCATAGAAATACAATATAAATGCATACAAGTTCATACAAAATTCAAACATTATTTCGATTCATATCTTATTGCTATCAGTATCGACATCCAAGTTTCATTTCACAAATTAAAGTCATTCTAAGTGACTCGACGCAGTCGGTTTTTAAAAGCTGCAACTGATGTGGGGTCCTTCCAGCCCAGTCGATTCCGTACTTCAGCCGACGGCGTTCTGTGCGGGGCTCCCGGCAGCAGCTTCCCGGCTCTGTTCTGCATCCGTGCTAGTTTTTGTAGATCCTGCTCTGGTGCAGTGTCCCAAACAGTGCTTGCGTAGTTTACGTTATATATGGTCAAAAATACTGCTGTATAAGGTAATGTCATTTCAAGTTAGTTTGGAAACAGATACATCGC